TCAACAGTTATCCCGAACACATGCCATCCAGCGGTTTACACTTCTGATATTGCTTTCAAGTGGATTCCAAATTAGAGCTTTGATGAGAGTTTACGGATATATATATATGTGCGGTTTGTAGTTACGAAAACGGGTCTGTATAAAACGTTGTTGTGTTAAAATTATTACCCTTTATTTATCTAAGGATTTTGCTGTCTTATGAAAGTTCGGGATTTCGTTTTCCGTTTCGTAGTTTCATGGCACTGCATTTAAATGACTAAATTTTTTGTTTTTAGTATTAAAATATTGAATTCCATTAAGTTTGTAAAATATGTAGATAAATAATCAAAGTTCGCGGGAAATTAAAACGGACAAAATGGTGCGGCATCTAATCGATATTCTCTTTTCATTTAACTTTGTTAAATTGTTACATATCAGAAAAAGAAAACCCACCACTTAGAAGATGAAATAATCGAGTTTTTATGTATTGATTAGACAGGCGTTTCGCGGAATTTAATTTGAATTTAGGTCAGCATATTTGCAATGACAAAATAGAAAATGGAATCAACACAAACACCGTTTTAGCAAGCACAAAAAGATACGGAAAAATCCCCCGTGGTGGCACCCGTACAGTTTCCAATAAAAATCGGAAAAGCGTTCTAGAGATACGTCTGTTCTTAACCGTCCGTCAGTTTTATTTACGTCTGTTTTCAAAATATTTGTAATTGAAATGAAGACAAAGGAATATGTCATATACGTATTGAATTCGGAAAATATTTTAATTAATCTTGGCGCTTTGTAAAAATATTATTTTCATGTTCGTTTAGTTGTAAGCATTTTTTTCATAAAATGTGTATACATGTATCTAATTTACAGGGGTAGGTATCTGTGGAACATCGCGCTAATTTTTTTTCAGTTGGCTGTTTTCCCATTTACACGCTTTTCATTCTAGAATTCATCAATTAAATGGCTTTTTTAATGGACAGCTATTACTTTAACCATTGATTTGGCACATTTTGTTAAATGCCGTTCATTACTCATAATATCCGAAACACAGAACGCGAATATAGCTGCATTTCGACCTAAATAGACGATCTGTTTTATTAAGAATCAATTTGATTACTGTTTTACAATCGATTAAGGCTATATATTTTCGAACGTTTTAGATTACATTTATGTACAAACCTATGTATAGTTGGGACGTTTAAAATTGGCATAATCCTTACAGAAATGCCTACTTTTATACACGAAAGACGTTCCAGGGAATATCGTAAACATAGAAAAGAGATGTCAATTAGGAATTGCAGCGGACACATAACATCTATCGTAGCCTTTGACAGCATCTCTTGAACACGTTAAAATATATAAAAAGCAGAACTATGTATTCTGTAAGAATACTTTTTTTTGCCAACTAACTTCTAATGTTGTTCATTATTTAGTTTTCGAGCGTTTGTTTGCCTTGGAGCTATTAAAAAAATATATTTCCCTGCTTCGCTCCCAGTTTTCTTACGAACGAAGGTTGATAGCGTCGGTGTAATAAATTTTTTCCTCCTCTAGAAAACGTCCATGACAGATTTTTCAGTTAGTACGCGTTCGTGCTGTTTTTCTGGATTACATTTTATTGATTCAGAGAACCAAAAACTACAATACAATTAAGAATATTTAAAAAAACATATTGGAAACAATTAGTAAATGGATAGTAATGGACTTACGTTGTTATTCTTTCCTCTTTTGAACAAGTGAGACTAATATATTTTAAAATAATTTATACTCTAAAGTACAAATGCATCTTTGTATTTCAACTGCAGCAGTCAATCTTCGGGGACATAAGAAAAATATGCAGTTAGAATATACAATGTCCATGCAGGCAGTAAATACACAAGGTACATATGTACAAGTATATAGCTTTCAGGCATGGTTTGAAAATAGATTGTATACACATTTTCACACGTGAATATAAACAATCGGAAAATTCTTCCTGTAAATAAAACAGAAATGAATAAGTAATAATACTACTACTACTACTATTACTACTACTACTACTTTTTGAGGAAGGAGCGATTTTTTGAACATAATAAGTTTAAAGCGGAAGGGCATGATCAGAATATGAATGAAAACTGAAAAACTGAAATCCCAAGACGTTTCCTTGCATGTCTGATTTAATAGCAGGCTTTGAATACCAAATAAGGTTAGCTTTCCCACGCGATGGCACCTACAGCAGTACAATATGGTCTAATTATTTACCGTTATCACTTGATAAAATTTGTTCTGCATTGCGGCTGTTTAACATTAAAATTGGTATGTTTTAGGTAGATAATTAAAAAAATGATGACATGTATCAAAGCACGAGGGATATGATTAAAAATGAACTCAATGGTGGTACCGATTGCTAGGCATTCCAAAAATGGAAAATGAAATTTCCACGTGTAACTCGAAAGTTCGACTTGCAACTCGAAATTTCAAATGTTTGGCCCTTTTACGCCTTCGTGTATTTATCTTTGCCTGCTATTTACTTTTTTGTTCCTCGTTGGCTATTAGATTCTTCCGGAAGGAAGATGAATCGTAGGAATTACCGTAGAATTTCACAAAGGATCTAGTATTGTAGTATTATGATGGCAGTTTTTCAGTTAAATTGTGATGTATCTGATAAGTGGTTGCGCAGTTGCTAAATTGGGGAGATGGGTGATTTTAAATAGGATTTGTAAGTTCCTGTGCTTTATCTCCTTTTAGACATCTCGCGAATACGAAAATCATAAATGTGACGCCCTTATAACGTATTTGAAGTTATATCCTGAAGCACTTAGAACACTTCTGTCACATTACGACGGCAATCGCCGACCTTCCTAAAATTTAACAACTTAAAGAATTTACTGAATGCCAGACGTATCGTTTGAATATATAACCGCAAATATATTCACAATTTTTCTTTCATTTTTTTTTATAATACGTCAACCTTCCCTGGCAAATATAAGAAGATCCTTCAAGAAATGCTTTTTATATTCCCGCTTTTCATACACATCATTATTTATTTTGTAGCTCTTGAAAGCAAACATGATATTCTATAGTCCAGTCTATAGAAAAAGTTCTACATATATTTGAAATATTATTTTTAGTTTACTGAGCACTGAGTGTACATTCTAATGCGCTCAAGTTTTCCATAAGAAATTGATAAAGAAGTAAATCTACCCAATCTGTAATAGTTTTAATTGTAGTTATTTCCTGGACCATTTGATTTTTGTGGCTGATTTTCGGTATCTAGAAAGTCAGATAAGTCAGAACGGAAAAAGTAGTAAGGATATAAAGCAGAAGATAGTGCAGGGTCGAGTTGATTTCAATAAAAAGAAGTCGCTTGCGAACGTTTAATTTAGAAATTCGGAAAGGATTGTTAAAGGTCTATGTTTGAAACGCGACGCTGTACGGGTGCGAAACATGGAAGGTAGATACGGCGAAAGGAAAAGTTAAAAGCGTTCGGAATGTTACAGGCGAATGATGAGGATAACGTGGATAGAAATGAAAAGGTATTAGAAATAATACAACAGAGGACTCTATGGAAGTCAATAAGATATAGGCGGGATAAGTTGGTAGGACACATTTTCAGACGTGAAGGGCTAGTCAGAAACAGGATATAAGAGAAACAGAAGTAGACCTAGATTAGATTACTGTTCACAAATAGTTAAGGATGTCGGATGTTCTAGTTTTAGGGAAATACGAAGATTAGCTCAGGATAGGAAAGAGTGGAGGTGCGTTTCCAACCAGTCTTACACTGCAAATGCTAAGTGTGTTATTCGACATACAGACACGTGTTACTGTAACTCACATGAACGTGTAATTTGTTCTGAGTGCGTTAAATTGCTATAAATAAGCGTGTTCGTATGTTACTTCAACACGTGTAATATTTAGAAATCCGTGTTGAATGTATAACACACTTTTCGAACTCCGCAAAAGCAACACACATATTTTAAGAAAACGTGCTACAGCGATACGTGTAATAGTATTTAACACACTTCAAAGTATTCCACGTGTTAGAAGATTATAAAATTCATAAAATAACACGTGTTATACTTGAAAAATCTTATACTCTAAAAATACATATAAATAACCAAGTTTTCAAAACTAAATATATCATTAGTTTAACTCTATTCGCTGATGATTCAGAAATGGTACATATTTAATGCCCATGTAATCAAAAAAACATAATTCATGAGGGAAATTTAATGTTTCAACATCAATTACAGATTTCTCATTATTCAAAAATCTACTAATTTTATATGCATTTAATTTTGAATTATAATTTAAGTTGTATATAATGAAACCAAAAGTAACTTTCCTAGACTAAAATTTTCAGTCTCTCTCCAGTCTCTCAGACTTTCAGCGTCTCTGAGAGCGTCTCTCACAGTTTTTCACAGTCTCACAGTTATTGCCTAGGTGTTTTTATGGATCTCTTACAGTCTCTGTATGAGAGACTCGAACGATAAAATTATTAATTCAGAGATTCGAGTCTTTCACAGAGAGATTGTATGGCTAGAACTGAAAAATTGAGAGACTCGAGTCTCGTAGAAAGACCGGGAAATATGTTGAATGACCAAATATTTCTATTACAGGATAGTTATAATTCTTTTTCCTAAAATCATTAAGATCTAAAAAAACACATCCTGTAGATTATCTACCGTTTTTACCTATATTATATGTGTATATTATTTGCACGTGTGTTAAGCGATTGTCGGCATCCGCTTTCAAGTATTGCGCCGTCTATAAAAACTAGTTTGTCGGTGGTAGCGGCCGACATTCGCAAAAGGGATGAACCTACCTATAAGAATTTGTAAGACTTTTAGTCACTTGAATCTTATGTTCCAACCAGTGTAGACGCTTTTGTTAAATAAAATACAGTCAGCACTTTTTAAACAATAAAAAGGAGCACGCACACATCCTATTGGACTTTCATCGGAATTTTCCATTATAATAAAACCTTTTCGCAACATGTGTTTTGACTTACCCTGAACAAAACTTTTAGTCCTAGTAAAAATGTATTCTGGGTACACATTAGTTCGTTTCGAATCTTCGTTCGAGAGTGTTGTGATCAAACAGTGTTTCTAGTTTTTAAACAATGTCGAAAAAATATGTTTTAATTTTTTGGCATGGAACACAGGAAAGCTCTATCATTAAAGAAGAGGATATTTGTGTGGAGAAAGGATCTTACGATGTGAATGATATTGTGGATGTTCTCTGGAAAGATAATAAAACTCATGAAGGAAGAATATTATGCTTAAGCGGTAAGTATTATTCAAATTGTTAGTAAAACATTGTATAACATACTAATACATTAGAATATCGAATTTCAGACCCCTCGAAGAAAGGAAGTAAATCTGGTATTTCAACTACGTTAAAATATTGGGAAATATATGAAATCGGAAAGGTTAATAAAAATAATATACCTACTAAGAATTATTGCTGTTAAGGTCCGCACTATCTTTTTTAATTTTAATTTTAGGTAGAGTTTATCAAAGGCTCTAATATTTGGATCTCATTGGCAGATCTTGAATTTATTACGGATTTGACGAGAAACGACCCAGATGAAATGGCCCGAAAACTTCTTAAGCATTTCATCGAAGAAGAAGTTTATCAAAATCGTGTGCTGTAGGATCGAGTGAAAACAACGATTCAAGACCCGGAATCAATCCAAAAATTCGGGATAACGTTAAAAGTTAGTATAAATCATACTGCAAACAATTGTTTTTTAAATGTTAAAACAGCAATAATATAATAATAACAATTTTAATAATATAATAATAATAATGTTAATCTTGATAATTTTTTATAATCATGTTTTTAATCATGTTTATATAAGAATTGAGGAATAAATGATTAGTTTTCATATAATATGGTGATGATTTTTTAATTTAAAAGTAATAAGTCGTCATATAATTTTATAAAATATTTTTTACAGACTGGACGAAAAAATCAGGATCTCTCTATGAAAGACTCGAGTCTCTCGTTCAGAGACGCTAATCAGTTTTTTTGACAGTCTCTCTCAGCGACACCAGACAGATTCGATGGGAGACGGAGACTCGAGTCTCGCTTTCAGAGACTCTGAGAGACTGAACATTGGCATTATCATATTCATTACATTCCAATAGTACCTACTATGCTATTTGGTTGGTAGGATGTACCAAAAATTACAACCTTAGGTTTATAATTGAAAATTAATGAATACGTACTATTTTATAGTAATTTTTATTAATTTATATTTAAAGTAATTTTCCACGTTTTATAAAACGTGTTTCCTCAACACGTGTTATACGTGTCTGTACAATTTATAACACGCTTCCGAATTTCCTATTTTATACCAAACACGTGTTAAAAAAACATTTACTGCGTGTTACATAATCACACATTAGCGTGTTTTAAAATGTCACACCTTGAAGTGCGTTTAAAATGACTACATCGAAAAAACACGTAAATGTGTGACAATGTAACACACTTAGCATTTGCAGTGTAGGACTGACGACATTGTTTTAAGTTTTAGAAAATCCTATAAAAAAAATTTCACTACACTACACTACAAAATGATGTCGCTTCGATCCGAATAGGAATCGTAATTGGAATCAGAATTACAATGCCAATAGAAATCTGAATTGGAGTAAAAATAGGAATTAGAATTGGCATTAACACCCTTTTGGGTCGATTTAGCATAAACACATTTCTGCCTTTTCTTTGAAGCTAAAAATGTACATATATGACAAAAAGAACGGGGTAGTGCGAAGGCATTGTAAGTAAGTACATCTCTATGCCTGATGTGCATGACACGATTTTTGAGAATTGACTTCGACATTTCCGGCGAACGTGTCTTCATCCCTTGCAGCGCGGTTTGCATACCTATTGAAAAATGAGATATTTATATGCCTGAACGCAGAACACAAACGACGCTGGGAGATATTTTCTAACATTGGGAACAACAAATAGACTTTAAACGATCACATTTACGCTTTAAATGGACAGTAAATAAAATAAAATGTAACTTTGGTAAACAGGTAAAAGGATAGGCTACTTACCTCTACGCTACCCTGTCTATTGAACTTATTGACATGAGATTAAAATTTTCGATTTGTTGAAAAAAAAAACTATTATTTATCTGTAACCTACTTAACATTCATCAATTTATACTAACAACAGCTATTCCGAATCCATGTAATTAATGAGAAATTGGCAAAGAAGCGTTAGAAGACAGAATTCTGAAATGAAAATAAAATAAAGATTTATATAAAGCATCGCGATTAAGAAAGGAAAAAACATTCATTTATAGATATATATACGTATAATTATATAGGTAATTAAGATTGATATCCATAAACCCATTAGCGGAGAAGGTACGTTTCAGCTAAACCGGAAAACTTTTTTATGCCTATATGTTTATTTTCGTGATGAAGGAGTAATTTTCTTGATACCATTTACTTCCAGCTTAATTCTGGAATATTGCCTAGCGTGCCTTATCTTTTGAACGAACAAGATCTAAATAACTTGGGTTAAAATAGTGAAAAGCGTTTTGTATAGATTGATATGTAAACAGTCATGAAAATGAACGAAGAAAAGGAGTTGAAAGGTTCTCGTTCTTCCAACAGTGTTAATAGGATCATTTGAATTAATAATTGCTCATATTTGGTAAGTGCTTCAACATTTACCGTTTATTTCGAGCTTACTTACGCTGAAAATAATCCGATATGGCATTGCTGAAGATATTTTTACTACTTATTATCTATGAGGTATTAGAACAAATGGGTAAATTTCGTTAAAGTATAGGTACCTACATTATAAAATTACTAAAAATTTATAAATAAAAAAAATGGAAGCGGTATTGACAAAACGGTATTGTATAAAAATAAATATAAGTAACACAAAAATACTGATGTGCAAGGAAAGAAAAGTAGGGAAAGAGCGAATATAAAGGTAGGAAACGAAAAATTAGAAGAAGTGGCTGATTTTAGGTATCTAGGAAGTCAGATAAGTCAGGACGGAAGGAGTAGTAGGGATATAAAGTAGAGGATAGCGCAGAGTCGAGTCGCTTTCAATAAAAAGAAGTCATCTCTATGATCGCGAACGGTTAATTAATAAATTCCAAAAAGGATTGTTAACGGTGTATGTACGGGTGCGAAACATGAACAGTGGGCGTGGTGGAAAAGAAAATGTTACAAGCGTTCGAAATGTGGTGTTATAGGCGGATGATTAGGATACTGTTGATAGAGAAGGTTAAAAATGAAGAGATATTAGAAAGAATAGGAGAACATAGGACTCTATGGAAGTTAATAAGAAATAGACGAGATATGTTGGTAGGTCTAGGTCAGAGACATATTAAACCCAGAAACAGGAGTTAGGAAGGGTAGAGGTAGACATAGGTTAGATTACGGTGCGCAAATAGTTAAGGATATGGGTTGTTCTAGTTTTAGGGAAATGCGAAGATTAGCTCAGGATAGGAAAGAGTAGAGGTGCGTGTCCAATCAGTCTTAAGACTGACGACGCAGTGCGTATAAATTAGGACGAGCAGCATCAGCCATCATCTTTAAGTCACTAATTCGCTAATTTATATTCTAATGTTTGAGGGTTTATATAATATAATATTTGTAGTTAAATATAACCGGTGCGTGTGAAATTCCTTTTGTAAATCGAATAATTAATATTCCTCAAATAAACTCTCCATCTACCTCTTGTATTATCATGGTAATGCTATCAAACAACAGGAAAATGGGAGTCAAAAGGCATCAAATATGGTGATTTTGTATTATGCCCATAAACGCGTCAGCAATTTCAAATCGCATTAATGAATTCCATCCATTAATAAATAATTATTCGTTCGTGTAAATCTATTCGCAATATTAACTGAACGACGTGTTTGGTTTTTAATTTTCCCGCTGAAGCTTTTTTTGGACTTTCGTTATTTCACTACTCTCGAACACAAAAATAGGCAGAGCGAATGTGCTTAAAAAATGTTGTTGTATTTATATTGTGTCAAGATTAGGGGTTAGCTTCCTAAAAACGAATCGCAACAAATACTGAATGTTAACCAATTTGTCGTGCCTTCCCGATTTACGTTAATTAAACGACACTTTGCTTAATGACTTGCTATAAATATCAAATTGCGTTCCGCTTATACAAAAGGTCTGGGTTATGTTAAATTAACATCCACTTTTCTACAGTCATTCTGTATTAGTCGAATGTCTTCTTTAAAATAACTTTAGCTTACACAGTAGTTCTGCATCTAATAATGATTGACTGAACTTAGAAATATATACTATATAGTAAAAGCTCTTTATTCGTGGGGTATACGTTCCATAAATATGTCGTGAATACAGAAACCTTGGATATGGAATGGTAATTAATGCGACGTAGAGTAAAAACATGCTTATCGGTTCTAGATATCATCAGTTTAAAGTTTGGAACAGAGGTTTGAAATTTTCTAGTAAGATAGATAAAGCTTTGTTCTAAAGCTCGTCGAAGGCCATTTTTTAATTTTTTAATTTCTATTGAAAATACATGTCCTACAAGAAGCATCAACTTTAAGCACTTGTAAAAGCTTTTAATGACTATATTATTGAAAACCAAAAACGTATCGAGTTAGTGTGAACCTTTGTCTGTTACCATACAAAAAATCACATATTTAAATCGCAGCGTTAAATGCAGTGTAGGACTGACGACATTGTTTTAAGTTTNGAATAGAAACCTATGTTTTCGGAAAAATTCACACTAGGCACGAGCGGTCTACTGCGGTCAAACCCCTTAATAAATGACACCGAATCCTTTTCTGTTTACCTAGCGATGCACAAATCAACATTGTGACAATTCTTTTCATGGAGTTTGTTACAATAACCCATATTAACTATAAGGCAGACAGAGATAAGAGATAAGAGCATATTGAAATTTCCTTAGCATTATAAAAACGATAAGTGTAATTCTGTGTGTGTGCCACTTCTAAAAACCAAAAAAATGCCAAAGTGTAATATTTTATAACTAATTATAAAGGAAATATGATGCGTGTAGGTAGTTGTTAAGGTCATTGGTTAAATAATGTGCTGTCTCATAATACGTGATAGGCGATGGTTAATTTCATTAAGCGAACGTTAACTTCGGTATTACATTATCGGTTCTCCCTTAAGATGCTCTGCATTAGCGTACTTCGATCATCACGAAATGGCAACAATAAAAGTCTCAAAATTAATTTATAACCTGCTACGTTGTTCGTTTGGAAATTCGGCTTATACCTGCCTCTATATCTATTCCGTTGTATAGTGATAAATATCCACCTAGTCTAGCGGAATACTTGTCGAGTGCATGGTTTGACAAAGCAATTAATTAAGCATGTATGATATGATTACGAAGATAATCCACATCAGCCTAACACAACAGTTTGTTTAGTATTAGGAGTATGCGTATAATACCAGGTAGCTTGTAGAGAATCTCATGAACTTTGACCTTCGACCGCTCGTTCATTGAAATCTACCAATTTCTGCTATATAAATACATTCGTCGTGATTGTTTACAGTCTGTCCCTGACTGTACAGCGGGGCTTATGAGATTCTGAACTATCTATACCGGTATTTTTTGAGCGGTCTGGTCTAAGCATAGCGCTGGACGCTTTTAACTAATACATAGTCAGCGTAATTATAAAGTGGAACGACTTATTTATATTTGGTTGTATTATGTGAAATTTAATAGCTCAATAATTACAGGGTA